CGTGACTACGCTTGACGGCCAAAAGATCACACAACGGTCATGTCATGGATACTGCCAGCAAAGCATGATGGTCTACACTCACTGATTTTGTTTTCGTTTTTGTTTCCATTTTTGTTTTTTGTTTTTTAATTTTTGTTTTTGTTTTTGTTTTGTTAATTTTTGTTTTTGTTTCTAATTTTAGTATGCGTTTTTATTTTGCGTTTCTGTTTTGTTTGAACAGAAAAAAAAGGTGACAATGAAAAACAAAAACAAAAACAAAACAAAAACAAAAATTTAAGAAACAAAAACGGAAACAGAAATTAAAAACAAAAACAAACACAAAAATTAACAAAACAAAAATCAGAAGACATAAAACAAAAACGGAAACAAAAATTAAAAAAAAAAACAAAAACGAAAATGAAAACAAAAATTAAAACAAACATTAAAAAAATAAAAATGGTAGGTGACCCTTCTGGGCTGCCGTAATTACTTCTCTGTAGTGAATGATGGTAGGCAAAATCAATAACTTTAGATTCCTATTGTAGGTTATTTCACAAGCAAACTGAGGTGAACAATTCTTCCCCCTGACTCAACAAACACTCTTGTTTTAATTCTATTTATGGACAAATGACAAAGGCAGACAGTATATAAAGCTGCAGGTTACTTGTTTATATGGAGCCCAGGTCTCAAATTACTATATATATTATGTTTACTAACTATGATTAGAACAGTTAGTGTACCTTTAATTTCTTGATTGCCTCCGCGCACATGGCATCGCCTCTCGCGCTGCTGACATCTGCTGACCCTACAAGCTGTCGAGAAGAGAAAGAGAGAAAGCATAATAACTTGGTCAATCGTTGAAAATTCACCACCGCATAATTTGGGTAGTGTTTTTATTACACTAATTGTTTTATCCCAGATCTGTTTATTATTGTACAAAATATCCCACCAGAGGAGGTAAGCGAGACACCACGCTTCCACGAAATATCAAATTTATGGATAATGGGGGCTCAATTTCACGTTTTTGTGGCATGCAAATCAAGCAAAATCAAATACGAGGCAAATTATAATAGACTCGAACCTTGCACTTGAACTTCACTCCTTCTCCTCGAAAGCGATGGTCATTTATAAGAACTTCTTTTCCTACGCAGCATGAACAAAATAACACCAACAATCAGCTGTTAAATGGTCAATTGTATCAAAAAGATTACACGTACCATTCATGGAACGAGACAATGGACAACAGAAATCAATTAAGCACTTGAAATCGACTTGCATCGGGCAGGACTGAAATGTCATTCTTAAGAGAATGATTTTATAAATGAGGTGGAAAATGCTTGTAAAATGAACTATTAGAAAATTATTTTTCACATGAAGGCTTGTTTTTCACATCTCTGAGCAACGTAGTTGAAAGGAAGAAAGAAGAGACCCTTTTACCTTTAGCTGCCGCCTTCGCCTTCGGCGCGGCTTTCTTGCTTTTGCCTTTGGCAAGCTTCTCTCCAGAGGACATGATTGCAAAACCGTTTCGTTTAACGCTCCAACGTCAAAAAAACCTACATCACTTGGCTGGAATCTACTGGAACATGCTTATTTTAAAATCTTTCCAGTGAATAACGAAAGAAATCGGCCGAAAAATGGTCAATAGCATCATATCATTCACGGTCGGCCATTTCCAAGCGGTTGCAGTGGTTTTCAGATGTCACTGTGGGGAGAGGGTACAGAAAATTACCGCGAAAAACGAATTACAACTCAAAATCAATTTTAAAATTGGCAGTCAATGTCAGTGGTAGGATATAATGATTTAGAGAGAAAATTTTGATTCAGAAGGAGGCAAAAACTGAAAGCTTTAAATATTCTTAAATAAGAAAATCAATATTTCTCAATGTTTTCTCACCCCACACCCTCCCCCACACCCTAAAGTTATTTTGCGCCAACTGTACAGTTGGTATTTGTAAGCGGTATTCCCAAAAAATTCAAGATGGCGACTGGCGGGAAGGTTGATATTTCTCAACTTCGCAATCTTGTTCGTCAATACATAGACATGCATTTGTACAAAACAGCTTTGTTTTGGGCAGACAAAGCCGTTTCGTTGTCCAGTGGTGACATCCAAGATGTGTACTGGTTTGCACAGGCTCTGTTTCTGACCGGGCAATTCCAAAGAGCTGCCCATGTATTGAAAAGTCGAGGCGTTGTTCAAACGACTCCAGCATGCCGCTACTTGGCCGCCAAGTGTCATGCAGAATGCAAACAGTGGCAAGAGGCGAAAGAAATTCTGGAAATGGAACAGAAAGAGTCGGCAGACAAGGATCTTCCCGCAGAGGTGTGTTTTGTCGGCAGCACCAAGAAACTAGAAAGTGCAGTTTGTTTATTGAAAGGAGTTGTGTACGAGGCGATGGATAACCGCGCTTTGGCTACAGATTGTTACAAGGATGCCCTCAGGAACGACGTGCACTGTTTTGAAGCGTTTGATCTGCTTGTCTCTCATCACATGCTGACGGACAAGGAAGAGAGGGAGCTGTTGGTTTCTCTTCCTTTCTCCGAGCAATGTATGCCTGAAGAAGTTGATTTGTTGAAATTTTTGTATGAGAGCAAGATGAAGAAGTACTGCAAACCAGTCGACCCCAAGCTTCCTCCTGGTTTAGAAAGCCTCAACGATAACCTGGATATTGTTGCTGGAATGGCAGAGCGGCACTTCTACAACTGTAGTTATCATCTTTCACATAAGATGACATCAGCTGTTCTATCTTCAGATCCATACCACGAGGCTTGTCTACCCATTCATATTACATGCCTGGTGGAGTTGAAGAAAACAAATGAGCTGTTTTCATTGGGTCATAAGCTAGTTGATAACTATCCACACAAGGCAGTGGCCTGGTATGCCGTTGGTTGTTATTACTACGTCATTGAAAAGTATGAACAAGCGCGGAGGTATTTCAGTAAAGCGACAAGTTTGGAACGAGTTTATGGCCCAGCGTGGCTTGCATTTGGTCATGCCTTTGCTGCAGAGGGAGAGCATGACCAAGCAATGACGGCATACTTCACAGCATCCAAACTGATGCCTCGGTGCCACTTGCCGCTCCTCTACATTGGCCTAGAGTATGGAAAAACCAACAATGCTAAATTGGCTGAAAGGTTTTTTGTGCAGGCCTTAGTTCTCTCACCAGACGACCCTTTTGTGAAGCAAGAAATGGGCATGATTGCTTTCCAAAATGGAGATTACATGCAGGCTGAAAAGTATTTCAAGGAAGCCCTCCAGAAAGCACAGATCACAAGTGGAGAAGTCCTTTCGGAAACATGGGAAACCCTGCTTAGTAATCTTGGCCATGCTTGCCGTAAACTGGGAAGATACCAGGAAGCACTGCGGTACCACAAACAGGCTCTTGTTCTTGTTCCAAACAAAGCATCCACCTTCTCAGCTCTCGGGTTTGTAAACAGCCTCCTTGGAAACCATCACGAAGCCATAGGCTACTTCCATAAGGCCTTGGGCATTCAGCGAGAGGACACATTCAGTGTCCACATGCTTGGTGAAACTCTTGAGCAGCTTACCTTGGAGGTGTACACAGAGGTAAAAGAGGACAATGACACAAGCATGGAAATGGATGAGAGATCGGATGAAGAAAGCGACTGAACCAGAGTAGACCCTTTTTTATGAGAACTACAGAGAACAAGCACACACAGGTCACAAAAAATTTGATGACGTAAACATCATATTGTACATTAACAAGTTACAAGGCTTCTTTGGTTCTATGCATTTTCATAAAATGTTGATCACCTAATAAAATTATAGTTGTTGGATCCAGATAGCTCAGAAAATTTAATGTAGAGCAGAGGTTAGCTGAAAGGCTCAGAAGTCTTGGATCCTTGCATCAAAATAACAAAATACTATAATCAAAAATTGCAACTATACATGTAGAATAAAAACTTCACATGAAAGGAAAGAAATTTACTCTTGAAGGTTACAACTGAAGATAGAAAAGGGCACAGAGAGAATTATTGGCCCCTTTGACATAAAATTCTTAGAGAAATAAACTTTTTACCAGGAAAGAAGCTCACTATTTGGTATAATCTGACAACTGCCAATGTTTGCCAAGAATGTTTGCTCACAAAAAATCACCATGGAAATGAGTTGACTTGTACAAGCTTAGGGGTGAGAAGATTGGACAGGAAAAGCATATTATAAGGTCTTAGGATACCCACCAAGAGCAGGAAGTTCACTTTAAATTGACCAAAATCCAACTATAATAACTGTTTTGTGTAACCTGTGTA